CGGCTCTGTACAGAGAGCGTCCCAGATCCAGCAACCCAGTAGCTATGGGCGTCGCTGGAGTTCTCCCTGGCCATGCTGAGTTTTTCCAAATGCCGATTTTTCTGTTCTGGACTGGGTTGCGGAGCTGGTTCCCTGGTGTTGGTGGCTCAGCAGCACGCTGTGCGGGGGGAGTGCCTCCGTGGCTTGGCAGAAAGGATCGGATTTATGATTTTCTGCAGTGCTGTGAAGATGAATTGACAGCGTAGAAGCGTGGTGGAGGCACAGGGAGGATGGTGCAGTGGAAACGTGCCCCTGTCTGAACAGCCTGTAACTTTGTTTTTGTCAGTAATCGATGGAGGCTTGGGTATAATGAACGGCAAGAACCTCTGTAAAATTCAGCACCCTTTCGCAGGGAGGAAGGTTGGTCCATCGACCGACGGACTTGCGTACGAGGCTTCATCTTAAAATGCATCCTTGTGCTTTAAGCCCTGCATATTATCAAAGCTACTTTGGAAAGGGCGGAATATTAATATCTGTAAAGCCAAGCTGGGCAGGAACGACCTTTGCTGTGCCCAGTCCCTGAGGGCTCTCTGCGGGCCAGGGCCGGCTGCGCCCAGGGCGCGTTGCTGGCAGCGGGGCAGATGCTGGCCCTTGGCGCCGGAGGAGCTTCGCTCTCGGGCCTCTGACACAGCAGAGGTCACACTTGGAAACTTTCTCTTATCCTGAAAAATCACTCTCTTCAAAAGGCTTGAGGCAGTATAGGAAAAGGGTTTGTTTTTAAAAGTGATGTTTTTCTTGGGCCGGCTGCGCCCAGGGCGCGTTGCTGGCAGCGGGGCAGATGCTGGCCCTTGGCGCCGGAGGAGCTTCGCTCTCGGGCCTCTGACACAGCAGAGGTCACACTTGGAAACTTTCTCTTATCCTGAAAAATCACTCTCTTCAAAAGGCTTGAGGCAGTATAGGAAAAGGGTTTGTTTTTAAAAGTGATGTTTTTCTTGGAAAAGGAAATGGTGTTACAGAACTGGGGCTTGGTTAACACCGTGATGCTGTCGGGTGGCGTTAATGGATTAACGCGCTGACAACGGATAAAAGCTGGGTCCTCATTAAGATGGATGTAGGCTGACAGCATCTCCTTGTTTTATGGCTGCCCAGTTGACCTCTGCATGAAGTTTCCTTTTCACTGTGCGCACGCTTTGCAATTAACGGCGTGAGCATGTTGTGTTTCCTTGTCCGTCCTCCCTTTTTAGAGAGCAGTCTCTGATGATGAACAACCTCTGCACTGTTTCGTGTCACCAAACTGGCAGAGCGCAGATGCAGGCAGGCCCAGTTTTCCCCGCAGCTGGGGTGCTGTGCACCGGGACTGGAGCCGCAGGATGGGTGCGTTAGGCCTGGGCAGGGAGAAGGGCGCAGGCGCCGAGTCTGTGCCGGGAAGCGCTGGGTGCCAGAGCGAGTGGCCGAAACCTGGGTGGGCCCAGAAGGACTGGAAGAGATTTTGGCACGGGAGCTGGTGTGTGCTCGGCGAGGGCCGTGGCCGGGCTGGGACCGCAGCCCTGGCGAAGCAGGGCGCCGGCTGGGTGGGCCCCTTGGGCAGG